CAAGGCAGGCGGCACCGCTCGCTCTGCGGGCCCCGTTGGAGCCGTGAGGGCCGGGCGGGCGGCGGGCAGCGCCTGAGGGACACCACCAAGCTGGGGGGACGCCACCACGCACCGCAGCCACACACAACGCCGGCCTTCATCGCAGCAAGTGGGATGGGAAGCATGGGAGACTGCCAGCTGGAACCCATTAACTGAAATATTTGCCTTAATGCGCAGAACTTAACTCTCCCTCCCCATATTCTGTGCAGTGACAGTATTTACACAGCTGCTTAAAAATACCCAGAAGGTTCCTGCCCTTTGTCTGGTAAAACACGACAATGATTTTCTGCAAACTTTACCAAGTCCTAGATATTTGCCACTGAAGCCTCGTTACCGTATTTTTCACCGATCTGGTTTGCGAAGCGGGGCCGAAAGACGCTTGTGGCAGCTGACACGGACACCTCTGCCCTTCTTCTTCAGACGGAGCTCCGCTTTCCTCTCTCCTGCCCACTGGGGAGGCAGAACTGGCACCGTGCAGCGGGACAGGCATGTTCCTGCCAGCACAGCACCCATCTGCAGCACCCCGCAGCTCCCTGCACTCCCACTGGAACAGCAGCAGCCTTGGTGTGACCCCTGGTAAACCTGCCCCTGCAAATGTATCCACACACTGTGTTAAAGGTTATCCATGAAAAAAAGAGGAGAAAAAAAAAAAAAAAGAGATGGATATTAAAATTGAAGGCCATTTTATTGTCATAGCAAATACCAAAATAAAAAGGCTTTTAATTCAATACATAAGAAGATCAAAGACTGTACTGGTAAAGCATTACTGTGCTCCTGCCAGCAATTCTCAGGTATCAGCAGTGCCACAAAACTGTATTGTGTTTGTTACAGAGAGTGGTTTTCAAATGAAGATCTTCATTTGAAGATTGCAGATTACAGAAATTAGGACAAAATGCCAGTTAAAGAGATAGATGGAATAAAGATTTACCTGTAGTGACAGATCTTCTCTGGAAAATTAAGGAAATTATACATATAATCAAGAAACCTGAATAAAAACGCAACAGCGGATTTTGGCTTGTGAAGACTGGTATGATTTTGACTTTGTTTTTGCTTTTTTACTCTTATTACAATTTAACTAAATTACAAGAACACTTTAGCAGTAATGCTTTCAATTAAAAAAATCATTAAGACCTATTTATTTCAAAGTACTGTCTTACCGTGAAGTCATACAAAAACATACTTTATAATACCATTTTGGCTTATTTGGGTCTTTTCATTAGTGAAAAATACTTGCGCAAAAAGTAGGTTTTAGTTACTAGTGGAAATCTCTAACATGAATACGGAACAATCCCTAATGAGATCATCCTCAAAGGTTTAGATACTATTACCTCATTCCTAAGTTTCTGCTACTCCCTGTTCACAATCTTCCTGCAGAGACCTATTTATAGAAGTCAGTAATATTGCTGCCTACCTATTGATGCAATTTTTTGACTGCTGTGTTGTCTAATGTAGTACATAGGTCTGGAGATGGAACTTCCCTTAGCTCCCATTTTCCAACAAATACAAAGACAACCCATAGGAGATGGGACTTTCCTCCAGCAGAAACTGATGCTTATCTTTTATTTTGCATTTTCAAGTATGAATAGCCACTCTCCTAACAGGGAAAAGAAAACTGGAGTAAAAATACTGGAACCAGCAGCTGAAATTCATCAGATTTCTATCTTAGTGTGATTGCCTTATTAAAGACTAATGCATATTTAAAACACTGAAGAGTGAAACCAAGTGGAGTAGGTAGCAAGCGTTCAGGGCACAAGATTGTAAATGCAGTAGGCTGGTCTCTGACAACTAAGTTAGCACTTACACTGGCATCATCTCGTACTAGTAAGTTGGCCGCAAATTATAACAGCAATTAATAAACAGGCTCTCCTGCCAAGTGGCAGATGGATTAGGGAGAGAAAAAAAATGTTCTCTCTAGGCCTGAACTTTTGTCTTTAACACCCCCTCGAGTTTTGCGTGTGTGTAAAACAAAACCCTATTACCTCTTTGCATCTGGTACGTGAAGCTTTCTGAAATGAAAGGTACATTATATAGCATTGTTCCGAGTAGAAAGGAAAATTTATCTTTGGACAGTCCAGAGATTCTTTTCTTTGCCCTGTGACTTTTCAGTTTGATATTTTGTGTCCTTTGCTATTAGGAAATCTTCCTTTCACGAGGTCTATTCAGAAAAGAAAAACAACAACCCAAAACAGTAACTCGGTTCCATTCATTTCGGTTTACCTGAATGTCCTCTTTCTAGTAAGACACTGTAAACACTGAAATCCAGTTGGTCTCGCAGAGGCAGGTAACATACTGTAATGACCATGGGACCAGTCATTCAAGCAGTTACTTGCCAGCAAGGCCTTTTGCAAAGTCAGGGTCCCTGAGACAAAAATTCTTTTCTCCCTAGTTTTTCTAACTATGACGACTGTGACGAGTACCGTGCTTGCAGTCTGGTTTCACTGAAAATTAAGTCTAATTATCCACTGGCAGGACACTGCCTGCATCAGCATGCCCACACCCCTCACCTAGCAGCTAAACTGCTGGCAAAGGCCTCAAAACGCACTCTCCTTTGCCCTCCCCAAATATGACAAATGGAAAACAAAATAGTGTTAAGATACAGAAAATTAACAGTTTGGGCCACTACCTGCATGACACATGGTCTAAGGCTTAGTCCCCCCCTCAGTAACTAGGTAACCTGCAGGATTTCAGCTGAACTTCTGTAACTCGCTGTGCGCGTGGTCTCAGCTGCCCTACCAAGGCAAAACACGTTGGCTCAGACCTCAGTCAAAGGTAGTTTCGTGCATTTTCTCCAGCCCACCCTGGGGATGGGCCCGCAGCATGCACACCGGCTGTTAGATCGTCCCAGCACCCCGCACAACGGGCAGTAACCTGCCATCTGGATAAGGTCCAGGCCTTCAAGCAGACACGCGTAGTGTACCAAAGTAGCACCTTTTTTAAAAAGGGGTTTGAAATAAAGTACTTGAAATTTCCAACAAGAAAAAAAAAGCAACTCAAGTTGTAGCAGCAATTGCCCTCCCTCCAAAACCTCAAAATTTCTTTACTTCCAACTGCTACGAACCACCTCAATCCAAAAATAAAGTACCCATCTAAGCTGGCCGCAGAACAGATAGTCTAGCTAGCCTCTCCAGAATAATTTGGTCTATATGTCCAAGAGCAGGGAGAGGTGCGTCTAGAGGACATACGTGGAGCTGGCTGCTTAGCAGTTACAAGACAAAACACCCCATAAATACCAAAGTCTTTGTGTCTAATTGTCATACAAAAGATTAAAAGGATTAAGTCTGATTCATCTCTCTCAGTACAGGAAAGGGGGAAAACAAAAAACAAACTTCCCAGTTCATGTTTCTTCTGATACAAAATGAATAGAAATCTTTCTTTTCAGTTGACGTTATGAAGTAGTTTTGTGTCCTCACTGGTTCCTGCCCCATCCTCTTCTTGGATTCCTTCTCCTAGTCCCTCTGCAAATTTGGTCTGGCTTCCCGCATAGTCCATGAACATCTTGGGAATATCTTTGCCAAAATATATCTTGCTGTTTGCTGCGATAGCCTTGTATTTCATCAGCTGCAAGTACTCAGGAGTTAACTTCAGCTGCACAAAAAGAAAACATCACCAACAGCTCAGATTTGGTCAAAAGCAAATTTCTGTCATGAGCATACGAGGCATCCGCTTTTCCACAACACTAGCAGGCATGCTCATCCTCTCTCTTCAGCTGAAGAGATGGAGTGCCCAGAAGAAGGCTCTCTTTCAGTATGTCTAAGTGAAGCTCTAAATCCCAGTGACTAAATGGCAAAATGAGAAAGTGAGGGAAGCAGCTGGGGAAACGCTCAATCCAAATGTACCAGAGATGGAGATGCTCGAAAGCACATAACTCACTGAAAGCCCTTGCAATGCAAGCTACTGGAAAGAAAAATACAACTGGCTTTTTTCCAGAGAGTAGATTGACGAGACTGTTTCGGAGACCAGAGCTCATTCGTTCAGGATAATGACATTATAACAGAGAGGATAGAGTAACTGGGACAGAACTTGTGCACAAACATCCCAGACCTCTGTCCATTCTCACCGACCCTTACAAAACAGAAAGTCTTCCTGCGGGATGTCCTGGGAACGTGCTGTAGGCAATAACAAGCCTGGCAGTTCTACCCGTATAATTTCTCTGTTTTTAGTGTGGGTTTGTTTGTTTAGTTTGGGTTTTTTTTTTTCCCTTTTCCTTTTGAAGGACCAAGGCTTTGCCAGGCTAATTATAATTAGTTTGGTGTATAAGATCAGCTCCATTTGTTCTTTACCTGAACACTTGTTTACTCTAAGCTTGCCTGTCACTCTAGAGATCTCCATGCTTTGACTGCTCGCCAGCTTGCAGATTGGAATGAATCGACATTTCTGATTGACACAGCGTGAAAGGGCAACACTGAAACTGATACTCTATCTACAGAGGGAGCCATGGCCCCATTAGCATCTAGCAGAGCTGTCTCCAGAGATGACCAGATATTTCACATATCCTGACATAAATTTATCTGTCCAGAGAAGAAAATGAATTTGCAAATAAGGATCTAATTGTTTCAGTCTCAGTGAAAACTCTTCTGAGAGGAGATGGCTTTGTTTTGCTTTTTGACTTAAACAATGAGACACAGCAAGCAAACAATAATCACAGATGGCTCTTTTGCTGTGTATTTCTATACAGCCTAATGTAAGGAGCCCTGCTTCAAGGCACAGCGTAAGGAAATAACAATACCTTGTTAGCCTCGGCTACTTTCATAGCAGTGTAGCATTCAGCATCAGCTCTTGCCTTCTCTCTTGCAAGAAATGCAGCATCTGGAAGAAAACACACGCTCTCATATCCAGATTTTTATTTCCAGCCATGTAAGCACCACTTGCAGCTGGAAACTTTTTACAGTGGCCAGTACCCAACCTAAACTGTATGGGATAAAACAAGGGGAAGAGGGAACAACATGGGAAACCCAGAAATGGGATCTCAATTTACATCTAAAACGCTGCAGGATGATAGCATTAAGTAAATTGCATCTGCAACTGAAGACCTCAAAGCATTTTATAAACATAAGGTTTTTATTACTACCCCTGTCACGCGGGCTGAGAACACTCTTTATTCTCTAGCCAGCCACTAACTCTCGTGCTGAAAGCACAGCAACTGTTCCACTGAAAAAGTGGTATTTACCCACGACATTTGCACAGGACTCCAAGAACAGCACAGCAGACTGCTCTACAGATGAAGTCTGTGACTGTGAATGCAATTCCCCAGATGGGATTTTGTCTGGGATCTTGAGGTTAAGATTCTGGCACGTAGAGGCAGGCAATTTTAACCTTTACAGGCTCTGCCCCTTGGACAGATGTCGGAGAGCTGCTTCTCTGCAGTATCAACAATTTTGTAAAGGGCCTAATCCTGCAGGATACTGAAATTCCCTGACTCCTAGCAAAGATATTTAAGGAAAGGAACAATTCCCCTTTCTGTATCGCACTCCTTTTTTTCTTTCTGACTTTTTATCTGTCCAATGATAACGATGTGATATCAGGCCATCATGTTAAGGCTAAGATGAGTTTCATCTGGCTGGTTCGATGTGATCTCTTGACATTCCTATGAATGGGAGCCACAAAATCGTAATACATGCCAGTCTGGACTCGAGAGCTGCACAGCTGGATAAACCATTTGTTTACCTATGCTAGCAGGGAGTCTTGTGAGCTGCTACACTTAAAAATCACGTAAGGAATTGGGTGGTTTGGCCCACAACTTCCTCTCTTTTGGCTGTAAAGAGCGGTCCCAGGCAGAGACACTCGAAAGAACGAGGGAGACAGGAATCCTCTGCCAGCACAGAGCTGAACCGAAGGCCTAACACCCGGTGACACACATTTATAAGAAATAAAAACCATTGTATTTCTGCAAAGAGCTTCTTAATAAGAAGCTGCTGAACTGTAAAACTCCTAATTGGCTCCTCAGCGGCCTTCTGCAAAACTTGACAGGGCCTATAATGAATGTAATTGAAAATCAGGCCTTGCCACTGTGAGCTGGAAACGCAGACCCCTTTTCAAGTCCTGGAATTTCCTTGACAAAGCATTGTATCAGACGGGTGGGGGATGTCATCTTAACTTCACAGTACAACCTCCTAGACGGATCACCTTCAGAAAGAGAGCTTCAAGAAGCACAGCCTGCAAAGAAACATTCCCATTCCTGCCTCTGGTCAATCCTAGTTCCTAAAAGCAGTCAGCTGCAACACTAAAGGAGGATGAAAAAGCAAAGATGCAAGCTAAACAGATTGCAGATTTATTGGTCACAGCAAAATACTATTTCCAAAAGAAGCAGTTCCCCCTCCCCTTCTCTCAGCCTTCAGGAGTTGGAAGCTACATAACAGACCCCTGCTGTTGCAAAGCGTGTAATAGCCAGACTTTGTTTTCTAAATCTTTCACACTACACAAAAAAACCTAAAGCTTAATTTGCGTACCTCCTCTTCTGCCCAAGAAAGAGACAGGTTCTAGAAGAATCCTAAGCAAGAAAAGGATAGAAAGCTTCCACAACTCTACTTTACTACAGATAATGAGGAGATGTGGCTGCCTCCCCAAGATTGCACAGTAATATTTTAGGACAATTTCACTTCTCTGTGAGAGTCTGCAGCCATTATCCAAAGCTTGGCACTACTTCTCTTAGGAAGACACCAGCCTGCCATTCCCTTCCTCTGTACTTGTGACAACTGTACTTCCTGCACTTGTGTTATATGAAGAATCACCTAAGAATCTAGAGTCACTCTTCATTGCCCCAGTATTCTCAATGCCTTCTGCCATCCTGACTGATCTGCCCCCTGAAAACTCCACAGCAAAACAGGCTGTGAAATTGTTGGGAGAATCTGAGTATTCAGATGCATTTATCCAGAACTGCAATGCATTACGTAAGGTACCCCATACACGGGCTAAAATGACAGACCAGTAACTTCACCCCTGTGAATGTCAGCTTGGATTGAGAACAGAGTCAATACACAACTACTTAACTCCGTGGTGAACTGCTTCAGGATCTTTAGATAAAATTCACCACAAATCATTTACGTATTGGGAAGCTCACCACTCACCTTCAATCTCTGAAATTCGCTTCTCCGTTTCCTTCTCCATCACTTTCTGTCCGTAAGTTATTTCGGCAACTTGTGCAACTTTTTCTGCCTCTGAAATGAAAGAGAACATATCCACACTGTCGTCACACAATCTTCCTAATGCCAGAAGCAACTTCACCCATAGAAGTCCTCACCACTCCATTCTGGCGGAAACAAGTTGTGGGAAGAATTTTCAGCCCTCAGAAGGTGTCAGTCTACATTTGTGGGCAAAGCTGGAACCCACCTGAAAAACTCTTGAGTTTCTCTGGAAGAGTTTCAGATCAGCAGCAAACAGATGCAGCAGAGAGATCACCCAACAGTGAACCTGGTGCATCCCTCCCCGATGTCTGGGTTCTTTTTGCTGTCTACCCCACCACACCCCCCTATAGTTACTGCCTTCAAGCAGAGATATACAGACCGATAAGGGCTTTCTTCCTTTCTGTCTCTGCTTCCTTCTCCACCACCTTCTGCTTCTGGGCTGCAATCAGCAGCTTTGTCTTCTCACTCTCCCTAGTGAGCCAGAAGAAGCCAGTTACAAAACATGAGCTAACTAAAGCAGCCTACCACATCTCCAGGACAAGCTGTTAGCTCAGTCCTCCTTCGAACGTGTGTTTAGGGCAGGCAGCAATCAGGAGAGCGAGGGCATGTACGGAGCTTTTTCTCTAAACCAAAGTGTCTTTTCCTCCCCTCCACAGCAGGAAGACTTTTCAGTCAAGTCAGTGTGAAACACTCCCCACTACTCTCTGCAGGCTGCCATAATGCCTTTTACAAGAAGCAGGTCACAGACCATACGCATCTATTAAGTTTTTTGGGCTACTGTTAAAGGGGAAATTACTTAAACGAAGTAAGAAATTAAAATCCTGTAACAGCCTTGCCCTCACAGACGGTTATTCTTCTTTATTTGGAAGTACACAGCTTTGAAATCACCCTCCATTCAATCCAATGGCTCTGTCCATTTTACCTCCTAAAGCCTTTTCTACCCTACTGTTTTGTACATACACTAAGAAGTTTTGAAATTGTGTATATAAATAAAATACTCTGCTCCCAATCAGGGAAGAGAGATTAGAGTCAAGAACAAGTCTCTCTCAACACATACCCTGCTGTATTTATGGCAACAGATAACAGGCTGATTTGGGATTCTGCCTATCATGACCATACTGCACATGACTTACCACAATCCCAAAAGGCCATACGAAACACTAGGGAAGCAAAATGGACGAGAGGAATCTTATTCTGGCCTACGCAGACTCTGATGGCAGAGTGCTCAGAGAATATAAGCATTTCTGAATGACCAAAAGCAAGCGAAGGCAGCTGGCTCAGAGCATTGAAAAGGGATCAGTATGTCAAGTGTTATTAAAGAAAGTTATTTCAAAGCTTTGCAAGTCTTCAGCCTGTTGAATCAACAGTTTCTCCATCCTAGTCAAACAGCAGGATTAGTGGTGGAATCTATCCACCTGCCACTCACTCACACGCTCTGGGAGGCCTATTTAAAATAGGGCCAGTGTCAAGAGGAAGGAGCCCCCGGGCAAATAATTTCTGTGCTCAAGTGGTCAAAATGGAGAAATACCTTCTAACTCAGCAGTGACCCCCCTGCCACTTACAGTGACAGACACGTGCTCCTCTGGTGCAGCCTCACCAGACCCTTTCTGAATGGCAGCACGGGGCTGAGAGCAGACCTGGCAGAGGGCACTCCGATCACCGCGTGCTGTGAAAACACATTAATCTGGATGACCGATTCTTTTTGGTAACACAAAGGTGCAAGTCTCAGGCACTTACATGAGCTCATAATTCCTCCGGATTGTTTCAGGGATGTTCGGCTTTGTAACTCGAACTGCCTGGAAAGAGAGACCGAAGAAAACATAGGCAAGCGGCCAACAATCAAAAGCCAAATGGTCCCCGAGGCTGCAGGGAGGGGGAGCTAACACTTAGGGCATGCTCTGCCACACAAAGCTTTCACATGCTGCAGGAATTGTGACCAGATCCAAACTCCACAGAGCAAATGTAGGACTGAATGATCTCCTGACATGACAGGAGATTATAACCTGGCTAAACTGGTACCCAGAATAATACCAAAAGAAACCCAACACATCAAAGTTAAAAGGGGATGGGAAGGATATTGTTCTCATTCCTCAAGTTAAATGAAGTCTGTGTTTATAAAGCAATTTTCTAAGAAGGTTTTGCAGCTTCCTATTTCCTTTTAGCCCTTACCCCTCCTTATGATCTGCACCTTAGACATCTCAAAATGGAATCCTGATTACCTGTATAATTAATCCAGGAGCCATTGTAGTTAGGTCTTGCTGCAAGGCCAGTTTAAGGTTTTCATCAATCTGATCTGATTGGGGGGAAGAAAAAAAGGTAACTAAAAACCCCACAAGGCAGCTTGCTGTCAACACATACAGAATTAGCTGGAATGGCTCAGATTTCTTATTCCTGGAAAGTAAGTACAAGTGTAAGTTTGATGTAGAAGCGCTGGGCTGAGAAAAAACATCCCTGACCCCAAAGCAGGTTCCCATCTCTCAGCATGTCAAACAGCATTGACCAGCGCCAAGCACTTGGGACAGACCATAGGAACATGGCAGGCATAAAATGAAATTATTTTCAGTTTCCCATAACCTGCAGTTTGGAATCTTTCTGGGCCAGAAGTAGCATCTTTACGATAAGGAATCTGTGCTCTAACCCACTTCAGCATTAATGTCTTCCCAACTAGATCCTGAAGTAACATGGTCTAGCTAAACCGTGACTGATTAGGAATCGCATCTGTGCCGGGCAGGAGACAAAGAAAATGGAAAGACAGAAATGTGAAATGGCTGCAAAATGGCTGTTACTGTAATAGGCTGAAAAAAAATCACCGGTAACGTCTGTTTGGCTCAATGGATAACAGTTAGCTCCAGCATAGCTAAAAAATTTCAAAAGGAAATACAAAGCAAAGCCCTGCTTCAATGAAAAGCTCTAAGGACAGCAGTGTTTCCAGTTGGGGCCTGCTGAGAAGTGCAAAGGGAAAATAAAAATGTAATAGCCTTGAAAGTGATCACATCGCACTCCTTGATTATTTGCTTTGGTCCCAGTTTAGCTATCTGGAACTCACACTCATAATGAAGTTCAGCCAGGAGTTTAGGAAACAGCTGTTATCAGTTTCCTGCACCTGCCTGCAGATGTGGGGGCAGAGAATGACCTAAGTCTGCTCGAAATGGGCTGTGCCCCATTGCAGAACTCCTGAGCCAGAAAACATTCAGCTCAAACAAAGAGTTATACGGGAGTTTATACAAGTTCCTTCTGTGCAAATCAGTGGCTTTGAGTCCATTTCAAGCAGCTGTCATCAGCAGCTGCCGACATCTGGAGACTCCATCAGCAAAGAACCAGTACACCCGCCAGCAGTCCCATAAAGGAACTGGAGGGGAACTGAGCCCCAGTTCTGCATCTTGTGCAGAGCCCTGTCAGAAAGCAGAAAGCCAGGCTTCTTGGAAAGCCCAGCTTGAACAGAGAACAGGAGTTTCCAAACACTGTGTTCTTTCAGGCGCAAATTCTGTCCATTTGGGGTCCAAAACCATTCACAGCAACACTTTGCCCGCAGTCAGCACTGCTGTAGTGCTGAAATACTGGAAGGGATTTCTTGTCAGTCCAAAGCCATAAACCAAACACTCAGCACTGGCAGTGACTGCTCTTATTTCTACCAAGAAACCATCACTTTTCTTCAGACAGTCTCTTGCAACGTGTTCTCCCAGCGCCTGTGCTGCCCGATTTCCCAGCGGCCTGAAGCGAGGGAGGGAAGGTCAGCAGGCCCTTGCCAAGCAGTCCTGTTTCGCAGCGCTCACTCGCAGTACCTGGGCACTGCAGCAACGCACATGACAGAAAGCTAATCAGACCCACAGGCCAGGGAGTGCTTGCTCATACTTTTTGTGACAGCAAAGAGCAGAAGACTGGCTTTTCCATCTGGACTAGCAAACCCTGTGACTGATTGAACATGTCATATTTGCTAAACACACAAATAACACCACAGAATTACTGGTCCCTCTCCTAAAGCCCTCTGCTACTACTGGCAGGTTTGGGATTTTTTTTTTGTTACAACATACTGAAGCACTCAGCACCAAAAGATAACAAGGAGTAAATGACACTAGCTGGTCAACAATCCTGATTCCAAACAGAGCAGACATTGGGTTAATAGGTATCAGTTGGGGGAAGTGACTTCTGCACCAACAGTCCATGCAAATGGCCATTAGAAACATCACCTAAGGAGCCACCAACCCAACAGTGAAAAGGTCAGAGGGGCAGCTCACCGAACAGCTCAATGTAGACCTCCTGCAGCGTGTGGACACTGCAGAACTGGTTCAGCTCATGGTGAATCTTGTTGAAGATGAGAGCTTTGTCATAGTCAGCGGTGTAGTTCTTCACTATGTCATACACTACAAGAGAAGAAGAGAAACTGGAAGGGTGTCTTGGGTTGGGGTGAAAGCTTGCAGTGAAAAGCTTATGGCTCAGTCACAGCAGCAAGAGTCACAGTGCCAATCCGAAATGATGAAGCCACCCACAAGAGAAGCCTGCACCACAAACAAATAGTTTTTTCAGGGGAGTTTTATTTATTGCTAGTATTTCACAACACCCTAACCGATATTCTGTCACATGCTCTGTAAGCAGGAGAACATGTAACTAATAACAGCCTTCTATCTGCAAATACTCATGGGTTGTGTCTGAGCTGCACAGTACTATGCACGAGGGAAGGACATCCTGCAGTTGGTGTAAAACAGAGGTCTCAAAGCAGGCCACCGATGAGCTAGGCAGTTGTACTGCACTTGTAACCAACGGGACGTTAAAAATCAAAGAATTCGGAAAAAAGGCTACACAGGTCATTCTCCTTGGGCCTCACAGCCAGCCTTCTGCTCACAGACACCCTGTCTCCCCTACCTCTTGCACACCTCGTTATTCACATCAGAAGTTCTTCACTGAAGCATAAAGCCCACTGAGGCTGTAATAATACAAATAATAAAAGCGATGCCTGGTATTTGGGTATTAGGAGTATAGAACAAGTATGTGCAAGAAATAATGTCTGGGAGAGCTGGTTTAAAGTTTTTGCCCAGGAAGTATGGGGCTTTGCAAGGTACACAGGGGCATGCCCAGGGTACACCCCAGCTCCAAATCAAAGCCCAGCCACACACAACCTCTTCACCTCATCTCACACTAGCAGGAGCACAAACAACCCCGGATGGCAGGATTTGCAGGTTAACAGGGGAAGAACTCACCTGCACTCTGGATGAGGAAATTTACCACCTCAATTCTGTCAAAATAAATCATCACTCCTCCACTGCAAAAAGAAGAAAGAGACACAGAAAAAGGAAGTTTGCCAGAGGCCAAGTGCTCTGCCTGTGGAGTCGGGCAGTTCTGAGCGGAGGATACTCCCCTCTAGTGGGCTGAACATGGTGTCCACCCGGCTGTGCAGCGCTGCTGCAGCAGTCCAGCAAAGCCCTGCTGCCCCGATCCTTGCACCAGGCTCCCAGTTTCAATTACACGCGTCTCCAGAAATTGGATCGAGAAACGTAGGCCCGGGCTTGGAAAACCCAGTGCGGCCCCTGAGGACGGCTGCACGTAAACCACCCCAGTGGGGCTCACCAGCTCGGGCGGTGCATGACGGAGCCTTTCCCCGATTTCAGGTGGGGGGGGGGGTGGCAAATCCAATCCGTGAAAACAAAACTACGCGTTTTAAAGCATGCTGGAGCGAGCAGTGGGGGAAAAATAGAAAGAATCGAAAGCTTTCTAGCAGAAACAAAGGACTGCGGGGGGTAATAGCTGAGCTGAACATCTCACCTGGTACCACAGGGAACATTTTTCACCTCATCTGTCTGCAGCGTGGTCTGAAGAGAGATTTAAGAAAAGAAGCTTAAGGGACAGGCACAAATCCTCCGTGCTTATCAGCATACAGACCAGCCAGCCGCAGGCTTCTGCCCACATCTGCCCCTTGCACCTCTCGGGAAAACGACTAAAAGCGAGAGCCCAACCTGCC